TAATAGACAATCGTTCGATGGGCTGAATTGCACAAAACGCATGATCGCACCAGCTAGTCTGGTGCGGGTTGCTATTTATTTATCTTTACTTGTCCACCATTAGTACTAGTATTGTTACTATGCAGTTACTACTATTATTACTATTATTATTATAATCCAGACACCCACTTTCACTATTATTCTGAGCGATTACTGTCATTATAACCGTTTATCAATTAGGGCATTAACTTTGGAACAGAAAATCCTACGATTTTGGTAAGGTACAATCGCGAGTTTTCTCTTAAATTTATGCAGTACGATAAGTATGAAATCGTCAGCATCCAGACAATTATTAAAGTCAATGTCATCAATTATATCACTGACATTATCATTATTAACCAAAGTGATTGCATTTATTGTTTGTTTGGCGCATAAATCTTGGAATAGAAAATAGTAACTATATCTTATTAAAATCGTGAACTTTATATCAATAAACAGGCGACATTGATTATTATTTTCATGCGAACGTAATCTTTTTGAGCAAAAAAAGCGCTGTACAAGTTGTCAGAACCACAAATTTATACGCAGACGCCTCAATTTACCGCATGCTAACTCAGTTTTTGATAACTTTTCCGTCCCATTTAACGATTCGCTAACCGCCGAATATCCCTGCTTTCTTCAGGAAAACTAATACTAATACAATTTGCATAATTTTCACTGGTATGCAATAAAATTTTATCAAGAATACTCTTAGGAATACCACAAACAGTAACAATCGATGAATTGCCCGCTGAAGGTTTGGTGCCTGATTCGAACTACAAAGTTTACGTCCGGGGTGAGACACTTGGCTCAAAAATTTTGTTCGAAGATGAGGCTCAAGTGCGCTACGATGATAAATCGCTATCGATATTTGTCAGGACCGATAAAGCTATCTATAAACCTGGATCAATCGGTTCGTTGCCTAATCCAACTTTTTTCCGTTCTGTTATAAGCTATACCGATAATCAGCGGACATCGCAAGTAAGAAAGTGGCCTCAGAGCAGCGCCACTTGCCACTATGCCATTTTTGCTAACTCAATTACCACAGAAATGTTATTTAAAATTTATAAACCTAAAGATTTTGCAAATTGCAGTACATTATGAAGTGATAGTAGTGAATCCTCATTTGAAGCCGTATTTGGAGACGGTTTCGGTGAAAATACGCGATCCAAATCAAAATATCATCAATCAGCACAGTGATCAGCCACTAACAAAAGGTTAAAAAATTTCCGTTTTCCTTGGATTTGGGTGCATTCACAGAGCCAGAGTTTTGTGCAACATTCTTTTCCGAACACTTTTCGATTCTTGGCGCAAAATAGGCATTATTCTACTTTGTTTTTCCTATTTTTATTAAAAACTTTATTTTTTCTTCCTTTATAGGAAAAATTGACTTAAATTTTTTTGAAAGGAATTGTAATAGTGTTTGCTGAAAGTAGCAGTTATACTGGAAACAAGTTGAGGAGCGGGAGAAGAGGAAAAACAACAGAGAAATAGTAAAAAGGAAGAAAGGGGACCTCTCAGTAGCACCAAGAGCCCGCACTAATAGTCCCGAGGATTTCGATAATAACACAGTGCAGGATTTTTGTAGGTGTTTACTCAAATGATCTGGAGCTATCGGTTGAGCCACCACTTGGTGACTGGCAAATTGTGGTGGAGACAAAAAGCGGCATCAAATTCGAGAAGACATTCACCGTTGACAAATATGTCTTGCCAAAATTTGAAGTGAACGTAAAAACGCCAAGTTTCATTACGGTGAATGACGATCTGAGTGTACATGTTGAAGCTAAGTAAGGACTATTTTTTCTTCGAAAAAAACGAAAAATGGAATTCTTGCATTTTTTTTTCTTTCAGAAAGAACCACGTTTTCTGTTCCTCTGATTGTGTTTTCAATGTTTTCTTTTCGTATTTGATATCACTACCAATGTCTTTATTTCGTCTGGAGTTAACAAGCACAAGGCTGAAAAACGCAGGCTGCGGCAGTATGGCACGTAATTGTTCTTAGCCTATGATTCAACAGATTTAAACTTTGTGCCAACATCGCGAGCAGACCGAAAGATATATGGACCAAAAGGGGAACAAGCCTTCCATTTCCGGGAGTTTCGAATCGCGACGTGCTATCGACTATACTATCGGCTCTTATGCTCCACATGTAGTAACTGCGGATTTCACAACCAAAATACGTGGCAGCCACATACCGCTCTATGATATCTGGTACTGGTATCACAAGCAGCCCACATTTTCCAGTTCTTTCCGGCTTTCACGAGCATTCCGCAGTGCTGATGGTTCAAGAAATTTTACATTAAAATGCAACTGAACGTACACGTGCTCTAAACACGTAGACATTTTTACTGTTCGCTTTGCTTTCTGTACTTTCCTGTAGATCGACAGATTTTATGTATTTTACTTCCTGTTTCGTCAGTTTTTACACAAAATGAATTTATACTCGTAAATTAAGTAAATTTTATAGGTACACATATGGAAAAGGAGTATCCGGAAAAGCGAAAGTAATCCTTGAGCTACCATGGCACCGATTTGCGCTATCGCGGCCTGTAATTGTTGCCGAAGATGGCACCGTACAAGAGGTTTGAAGAAAAAATCATAAATAATACAAAGTTTGAGAGCAGTTTCTTGAGTTTTCCCGCGTGAGGACTTCAGACTTATTATGCGTCTTTTGCAGCTATGCAATGCAGAAAACGCATATTGACGAGAGGTTGTCTGTGTGT